GCCCGGGGCTTTTAAAACCTCCTTTCAACCTTTGTTTCTATGACAGAAAGTTCATGATGTAGACTCTAACTTTCTCTTAATATCTCTCTCTCTCTCTCTCTGTCTCTTTAAATCTGTCTTTGCCATTCTAGATAAAGATGCCAAGTATTGGGCACTTTCTAATAAGAATAGCCCTTTACAAGTTTGACCCATTGAAGCAAGACAGTTATTTATTTGTGGATAACTTCTATTAAAAAATTATGGTATCTTACAGATATATACGCTGTAAACGAGATGATAAGAAGGAAAACTTAAGTTACCTCTACTTTTTTTTCTCTTGGCTAAAATGATTTTTCATGTTACTATCTCCCAATATGGCCTGTTTTCTAGACTTGAAATATTTTCTGGCTTTTCTTCTGCTTGTACAAGGCAGCACCCCAAACTGTGTAACAGCTAGTCCTGAGGAGATCAGAATAGAGAGAAACACGTATCAGATATTTTCTTCAGGTTCTTTCCTCCTTTGATCCATCAGGTCCCTGTTTCTTTTAAGCTGGCTTTTAGGGAGCTGCATCAAATCACCTGTAATTGTCAGCTCAACAACAGTTTAGGGTCCACTGTGACCTCCTGAATGCTTTCTGACTTGCTTGTCAGTCCCATCTTGATCTGTGCTTTACCCAGTTTTTCTTCATTAACTAGTTTTCAGTTTATTCCTGGTCAGTGTCCCAAATTGCCACAGTTTTTTTTGAATTCTAGGCCTGCCTTTTGAGGCACAAGCTTCATTGACCAGATTTGGTCTTCTGCCAGTGTATAGCGCTTGCTCTTTATTTATGCATGCCAGTTACTAATGGAGACATGAAGGGTGTTTATCTTCCTTTTGGACCTCCTGGGCCCTGAAGGGAAAAAAACTCTGGGTTCTTCCCCTAAAGCTTTTAGCGCATAGTTCTCCTTTTCCTATTAAATTGTTTCCGTATGGAACAACCAGTTTGGGAGATGATTTCACCTCTTGTCATCTTTCCTATGTCTTCCTTGAAGTGGGTAAATTCCTCCTGGCTGTTACTGGTTTCCTGCCACTGTCCCCCCACCCCTTCTTTATAGATTCCCTAAATCACATCAAATTGTTTTATTTTTCAAATCACCAAAGTTGCCATTCAGCCTTGGATCATCAGCCAGCTCCTTCCAGTTAATGAGGCTCCAATTATGAAAGGCAGCCGCTCCACCTCCTCCATCTTCTGCCCCCCGCCCCCCTGAGCTGGTTAGATGACTTCTCGCTGGTGAATGTCAGCTGTTGTGGTTGTCTCCTAGGAATGGCATGTGTTAAGGACTTTGTGGTTTGTATTTGAGCAGTTAGGGGCACCCTTGTGGGGAGAAAGAAAGAGAAGGGTATTGTTGCTTCTGCAAAGGACAGCCTGGAGCCTGATCTCCTAAGTGAGGCTTGTCATTGGGATGGGTTCACAGGGAAGCAGGACTGGCAAGAATTTATGGGGCTGCTGCTCCTAGGGGGTGGTTACCCCTCTTGTGAGGGTGGGTTTCACAGTAGCAGATATTTTGGGATCATTTGTTAGTGTCTCATTTATACCATCTGTATGAAAATAAACAGAAGCTGCAAGCAGACCCTATCGTTCTCGGAACAGAGCGGGGTCTGGCTTCCATCTTTCAGAGATGGCTTAGGCGGGGAAACACACAGAATCCTCTGAAGTATTTTTCTTGGGGTCTACTGTGGGAACAAATAATCTGGAGATGGCTAACAAGCATCTAAACTTGCAGAATTTTGCTCTGCCATGAATTCATCATTTGTTCATTCATTCATTTATTAATTCAATAAGTATTTGTTGATTACTCTTTTTGTGCCAGAAATGATGCTGGGTACTGGGATCGCATGAGGCAACAGCCAGTTATGACTGCTGCTTGCCCCCTGAAATTACCCCTCCACTTGCTGAGTGGCCACACGGCACATTTTGCCACACAGGAATGGTCCTTCCAGTTTCGGGAGGTTCTGGGGCTTCCGGCCAAGGAGGGGACTTTGTTCTGTATTTTGCTTTGCTCCATACCTGGGGTGTGGTATCCTCAGCCCTGTTAGGGGCTTCTGTTCAGCTGAAGTACCAGACACAGAGCATTTTCCAGCCTCCCATCTCCTGCCTGTTTTGATTTGCTTAGCTAAGCATCCTTTTTAGGGTCACTGACTCCTTATAGTATAAGTTCAGGTCTAGAAGAGGGGATTTTGTAGGGTTTTCTCTTTTGAGAAGGAGATGTGAGTTTCCTTTGTCAGTTTGGTTCAGGTGGCCTGAAATCATCCCCTTCTGCCTGCCAAGAGTCCACATGGCTGGGCCCAAGCATCATTCTGCTACACAGGAATGAATCCTTACACTGGCTCTTTTCTTGTTTTCCTTGGAGGAGGCCTGGGAAGACATGCAGCTTCCTGGTGTGGAATTCTGCAGCCTTCTCTGCATTGCAGAACCAGCTCTGGAAGGTGGAGAGACTCTCTCCCTGAACCTGGACTAAAGTCCAGCTCAAATTTAGGAAGGGTCACAGCACATCGACCAACCACATGTAAGACCTCGCAGAGGCCATTTCTGTGTCTGGGCTCCCACCCAGGCTTCCATGGGGTTATTTAGGGAACTTCCTAAACCTGAGTCTTCATGAGAGGCAGAGTAGAGGGTCCTCTGCAAGAGAATGATCCTCCACTATGGCTAGTGTCTGCAATTCTGTTAGTAGGTCATTCTTTCTGCATTAACGTCTCTTGGAGCCCAGGACGGGAAACAAAAAGGGCAGCCTGAGAAAGCTTTGGTTCTAGACTTTAGGGACCAGGAATCCAGCACTG